CAATACAAATTAGAAACTTTCCAGTAACTTTTTAAGATCCATTTACGGACTTCCGCCTTGGCCGTATTGCAATGGGAATCATCGTCGCTCCTCTGACGTAAGGGCGTATCTGGATTTCCGCAAGATCCCCAGAAAACATGAATTGATATGTAAAATAGGATTCAAGTGGAAGTTGAGATACGCCTTTTCGCTAGAGAGACGACGTCATTTGAAACACTGCGGAAAAAAACACATTGGATCTAGAGTCCAGACTCTTAAAAACAACGACAAGAAAAAGTGCTCTTGATTCAATCAGAATCTAGCTTAAATCAAGAACCAAGCCTCTTAATTTAAGCGGATTTCGTTTTGATTCAAGCAAAAATCGACGTCTCACGATCAGATGACTCGAACGTGCTTCTCAACCGGGTTAACTACCAAAAACGAAATCTCACAACCTTTTTGGTCAGGATTTGCCAAATACTATAGTTATTTCAAGTAACTTCAGGTAACTTAGCCCATTTTTAACGATGCAAAAAAACTTTCAAGCACAGCAAAAAGTTAGAAACAATCGAGGGGTTTCGAGATTATGCGGGAGCCACGGACGGGACGAAGAGGGGTGGTTGTAAATCCAATTTTTACGCGTGACGTCATTGATGAGCGGCCCTCATGAATACACTTACGTCAGTTACGTCGCTCACGGTGCGGCAACAAAGGCTGCCACTTTCGTTCGCAGATCCTTAAAGCCGCGGATCCACAGGGCGCGCGATGCGGACGACGCGATGCTCATGGCCACGCGAAGTCTGCCGCGTGGCAAATTCGCGAGACCGGGTGGGATCGGGGTTGCCACAGAATTTGGAAAATGTACTTTCCTGACACATTTCGGTACTTTTTCCTGCACTGAAAAAAAAAAAAAACTCCGGCCGTGGGAGCCGCAATTACGGGCTATAGAGACGTACCGTCCGTTCCGGGCTCGAAGGCCGAAAATTCCGGCTGCTGGATCCGTAGCTTCGGCCTCTGAACCCGGAGCAATCGAAGACTCCAGCAGCCGGAACTTTCGGCCTTCGAGTCCGGAACGGACGGTATATCTATATATCCCGTAATTGCGGCTCCCACGGCCGGAGTTTTTTTTTTTCAGTGTGACAATTTAACAAATGCCAGATTCTTAAAACGACCTAGTTAGAAATAGTTTTCAGCCAAAATTTGAAGTTTGAAACGTCAAACCGACTTGAGAAAGCAAATGAGGGCGATTTGACGATTTTTCCCTGAAATTTTCTTCATTTTCCCGGAAAATTTCCTGGATTTCTCGGTATTTCCTGATAATGTCAACCCCGTGAGCTGCATTTTCACTTGTGAGTTACCGCACTAAAAAGGCGATCCGCGTCACCACACAGTTGATCGAGTCAGTGGGGGTAGTCGGACAAAATGTGGAAACTTTAGAAGCGCACAACTTTTTCAAAACATAACTTTGCAGTTTTAAAAGTGGTTCCATTAGTTTTCTTTCAAAATTTTCTTCAAAAAACATCCCTTGATGAGATCAGAGCGTGAATCAGATGGGCTTGGTTTGGAGAGGCAACTAAACTAACTGCCTGGCAAAGCGGAGAGTATTGTAGGTCTTTAGAAGCCAATCTGAGAGGAGGTACTTTTCCAATGAAATCGATTTTTACACCAAAATTGATTCGGTTCTAATCGCTTTTCTTTAAAAAAAAAAAAAAAAAAAAAAAAAAAAAAAAAAAAAAAAAACGAATTCCCCCCAAAAAATCAGCATTCCTACGATTCGCACCTAACCCGATCTCGCGAATTTCCGCGGACCGCGCGGATGCCTTAGCGCCGCCCGCCCCGCGGCTTGTGGAAGCTCAGCTGAAAATCGCGAAATAAATCGAGGGCGGTTGTGTCGGGTCTGCACTGCGCTGCACTCGGCTGCGAGGCAACAGGGCATCCAGAGGTAGCCATGGAAACCTCCACCTCCAACCTCCTCCACTTCAATTATTTTCTGTTTCGGCTTCGGCCGGCCCCGGCAGCGGCAGCGTCAGTGTTCACCACCACTCGGTGCTTCCGCAACTGGCAGCGTCTCTCGCCGGCTCTTTCCCGGGAGGATCTTCCCATTTTCTCAACCTCTCGTCGGAAATAAACAGTAAGGAGTATGACTGTCGTGCTAAGGAAAAATGCCGTAGACCCTACAGACGTTGCCATAATCCCTTCGACAAAAAACGAATTTACTAGAAAAATTCCAAAAAAAATTGCATGCAATTTTGTGCAAAATTTAATACGACACATCTGAAACTTTCACGGAAAAATAAGCATAACTTTCCTCCAAAATAAACATTTTATCGAAGGAAATTCGGCAACAGCAGAATGCTCTTACGGCGTTCTCTTCATTAGCACGGCAGATTTGAAGCGAATTTTATTTAAAGTACCAAGCATTTTATTAAAAATATTTTTATTTTTTTAAAAAAAATAATAATAAGAGTGATTCTACAAAAGAAAAATCACTCCGCTCTGCATCTGCTAATATTTTCTAGCGGTTGACGGGTTTGTTCAAATGAATGCTTGACATGCTTCTGTTCTTAGTTATTCAGACGTTAGCGCGAGGGCGGTACTAAATTCGAACATTTGCAACTTGTCTCAATGTTAATATCAAAATATTTTTCTGTGGGGAGAATCGAATAAAAGTTACTAGAGGTTCTGCATCGATTGTGATTAAAAACACGAAGAGAACACCCATAGTCACTCGCCCTCCGTGTATCACGCTAGGCTACTATGCGTGATACAACTATATCAACTCTTGCGCCGCTTAAATTGCATATCCATCGAGTTGAAGGCGAACTTGATTTCTCATTCCTATTTCCACATCTTCAGACGTTAGCGTGAGAACAATGCTAAATGTTAACTTTTGCAACTTATCTCAATGTCACTGGACATTTTACGTCGACGGTCATTAAAAGAGGCAGGGCCCTTACAATCCTGCAAAATGAAACCGAGTTAAGCTCGTGTTCTGCGTAATTCATCGAAATACAACTCGAATACAAACTGTGGCAAACTTCGCGAAAAGGGGAAGAGCTTTCGACACTCGCAAGCGTGCGACCGAAGTCCTGCGGGGCCAAGCCCCTAGGGCGTCGAATAGCGTCGCCGCCGTCATGCTCTTCTTCCGCCCGCGATAGCGCCGCGCCACGCCTTCTAGCAAAAAAATTTGGGCCCAGTTTTCGTTACTCGTCATTTTCCTTCTTCTTAATCGATCTCCACCAAAATCTCAACATGAATGTAGGGGCTGACGGGCCCTTTGCGACCATGCAGGGATACGCACTAAGAAAATGGACGAGAAAACATGAGCAGCCAGCGGGAATTTGGATTCGCGTGAGAATGCGTCGAGACAAAAATGAGCGGGGTGACAAAGTTTCTTCGTTTTTTAAAGTTCCCCGACTATTCCTAGACTAAAATTTCCTAACTTTTCCAAGGGTTTTAATGACTTTTCAAACACTCATCATCTACTAAAAATATTTCACGAGGAATTTGGTAAAATATTTTCTCGCTGCAGAAATCTGCCATGCTATGGAAAACGCCGTATGAACAATCGAATTTCGCCAAGTATCCTTCGATAAATTGTAAATTTTTGACAATGGCTATGAATATTTTTTCTTGAAATTTTAACACTATAGATAAAATTGCAGAAAGAAATACCTGCGAAATTCGAAGGGAGAAATTCACAAGTTTTCCGGAAAATCCGTAGTTCGTCAAAGAAGATTCGACTAAGTTTGGAGGCTCATACGGCGCTCTTCCTTAGCACGGCAGTATCGGGGAAGATCAGATAGATTTTCGGACTTTCACGCATGGCCATACTCTCGCCCAATAGCGGTATTTCATTTCGGTCAGAGTTCGGAAAAATTGGATCACGCTGAACGAAGCTGAGAATATTCGTCGTTTTTCAAAAGTAAGAACGTGACTCCATTCCAACGCTGCAAAATTTCCCTACGGCGAATCAAACCCACTTTAAAGAAAACTGCCAGAAGTTTTAAAGTGAGGATGTAAACTGATATATCTTATGATTAAAAGGCAAAAATAAGAGTAATTTTGGATAGAAATCAAAGGGCTTGGAGGACGAGGCGCGTACGTACAGTTTTTGCTATTTCGAGAAATACGTGATGGAAGTTTCGAAATTACATGGATCCTCATGGCGGAAAGAAGGTTCAAACTGACTTTCTAACCTTAATAAATGGAGTTTGGCAGCGAATTTTTCACAGGATCTGGATTAAGACTAGTTTTGCTTGAAATCATTGATATCTCAATTTTTTCAAAAATTGCACTTATGCGCCTTGTCCTCCAAGCCCCTCGATCGGACCGAGTTTATCAGAAAGAAACCGACCCACATTTTCGGAAACATTAAGTTACGAATGTTTCTGAGCTGCATTAGCCAAATATTTTCTTCTGCCAAAAACTGAAAGTCTAAAAACCGAAAATTTGTGATAAGAGGGGTTAAAGTTTATTTTTTAGATTGAGCCTTATGCAGGAATAAAACTTCAAACTTCTTTTTCTCAGTTTCAACTTAATGCGTGGGTTGGTTCCTTTCTAACGAACACGGTCCAATTGTATTTCAGCATTTCTACGTTTAAAATTGTTCGAGGCAATTTTGCACTCTTGCAGGGTGTCTACTAAAACAGGCTGGTCAAGAATAAGTACTATTGCAGTACTTTTTCAGTACATTCTCAAGAAATTCAGTGCCTCCTCCAACAGAAAACTTCCGTACTTTTTCAGTACCTTTATATTTGACGAAATTAGAAAAATTTAAAAAAATTAAAATTGCGACAAATATGACAAAATTTTTTTCAAAATTCCGGATCTTTTTGCGGAATACCCGAACTTTTTCAGAACTTCCGGATCGTCCTTAAAAAATCAGTACTATATCCTACGGAAATTCCGGACTTGTAGACACCCTGAAATTGCTCGAGTCAATTTTGCAGTCTTGGAACGTTCCTTCGTCTACAAAACGACGCGACGGAGCGAGGGGCGAAAATGGAGCGGGAACATACCTTTGAGATGTGGGCACAACGACGCTACCCGATGAGTCGAAAACAGCGTCGGGAATTTCGGCGGGCATCCAACGGCGCATACTGGGACGACGACCGACGAGGATGACGATGGCAGCGCACAACTCACTCCGGCTACGCCAACAGACGCTCATTCATAGACGACAGCCCGAGCGCTTCGCTCGTCCAACCATTGATTAACACCACCGACTTTCGAGCACACACCAACACTCGCACACACAACGCGGAGGCACTCACACACTTTCCCGGAAGAGAAGGGACGCCGAGTCACATTTTTAAAACCGCACCGCTTAGATACCCCAAAACTTCAGGGCTCCCGAACCCGAACGACACTTTGGATATCCTTCAGGGACAGCTTCCTCCTCCGCGATGACAACGTCCATCTGAAACAAACAAAAAGATGAGGATCCGTTAGATATGACGTAAAGTAAAATAACGAGAGGCAAGTCATATTTAATGTCGAACTTACGGTTGGAGAAAGTTCACAGGTGTACAAGAGACGCGTATGCTCAATACCCTCGTACCTATATTCAATGACCGAAGTGCGAAATCACGTATCAGCTACTTGACATATACCTTACTTTTGGGTCATAACTTTTGGTGTCATCATGGCCTCACGCTGAAAGTACACGAGCTCTTTAAGACTTGATGCACCTACCATAATGTCTCCAGAATTGAAAGAGGCGCTTTCTTGAGTAATTCACAATTTAAATGTAAAAGATTTTGCAAGACAAAATTTGACTCTAGTCTTAATGAATTGTATGTTGCCTTACAGTACATAGTAAGAGCTTTTAAACGGCACCAAAACAATTCTTCTGGGACTAATATTGGCGGAGATGTAGGCAAGCCTTTAAAGTTGGTCATCCTCAATTAAACTGGCAATTTTCAGAAAATCCAAACCCCCATAAAATTTGAACGAATGGTTAGAAAAATTTAAAATTGACAGTTTTTCGCTAAATTTATTGTAGAGAATGAGTGTACCAAGTTGTATCGAAATGTAAGAGGGTCATGTCAACACCTTGCCCTACTTTGGCGTAGAATGACCCTATAAAAGAACCTGCACAGCCATGTTTTCATTGGGCGTTCGCAGAAATATGAGAGAAATTACACGGCAAAAGAGGGACAACATTAAATTGGCCTTAGTGGATTCCATTGATAGCAATTTAATGTTCTGGACTCTTCATTTTCTCCCGATTTGGGTTAACTGGACTTCATCGGTGGATGACGTATAATATAATACATTAAGCAGACACGCACTCACAACCCTAGATTGAACACATTCGTAAGTGAAAACAAATTATTAAAAAAACAACAGCGCCAACTTGAGAGGGGGAAACAACTCGTAGGTGCGTAGTGCACATTACGCAATACACATTACGCACTATCCCTCTAACGCTGGTGCAAGGCCGCGCGACCACCCTCATCCCCCTCCCACCGCCGTATGTAATGGGATTACTGGTGAGAAGACGTGGCAGGAAGGGGTTATCGGGGGTTATCGGGGGATCTCTGCATTAGTGCCGCACAATCGACCCTCATCGGATGCGGTTAAATGCGCGAGGGTCGTATTTTATTTTAATACTTGGAATCGGAATAAATGCAACACCGCGCTGCGCACCGTGGCACAAGTTAATGGAATGTGAAGTTAAATACCGTCCGTCCGAGAGGAAGATGTCCGAAAGGATGCTACGCTGAAAATTGACGGAACGCTCTGGCTGATATCATTCGCGGCATTTCAATGTTGTAAGCGAGCCGATATTTTGTAGTTTCAGGACTTTCAAATATTTAGAACTGAACGACAGGTAATTAAAAAAAAACAAAAAAAAAACCGCATTTTAAAAAGGTAGATTAAAATATGTCGCTAATTTAATGATGAATTTTTTGTGGTTTTTTCAGTGCGAAATATATTTTAACGATCAAACTAGTAGACTTCCCTGTTTTTTCAAAACATTGCGACTAACTGGGGCCCAATTCGATTTCCTCGTATTAAGATTTATCCTCTGGTTAGGATTTAACAAGCACTTTGTGACCTGTTAAATTTTGATCAGAGGCTGAGAGTCTAATTTCCAAAATGTTCCATCAAAACCGAAGATATAATCTGAACCATAAAATGTATCATACAACCCCTAAAATCACCCAAAAAGCGTTATAAGTATTGCTTCAACAAGAGGCTGAATGTAGCAAGAACGTGATGAGAGCAATCTCTGGACTGCATACTGCATCTTTCAATAAGAAACCACAATTCGTGGTTCATTTTTAGGATTTTAGGAAAACAACATTTTTGCTGCTGGTCTCCCTATGGTTGGTGCATCATGACCATCATGTCCTTCATCTTAATATCGACAGTTTAAAATTTCTCTGTTCGGTTTAATCGGCAATCCTGCTCTTAAAGCGTAGGATAGTTGATTAAACCGGACATAAAAGAGTAACTCTTCCATTGAGAATGGTCGAAAAATCTAAAGAGAAAACCCATATTTCAGGTAGAGAACTAGAGACCCATACATGCAACTTTTGCAATTTCGAGAAATACGTGTTTGAAGATTCGAAATCACCCGGATCCTTATGGCGGAAAGAAAGTTTAAACTGACTTTTTGATGCTTTAAAATTGGAATTTGGGAGTGGATTTTATAAAGAACATGCATTAAGACTAGTTTCGCTTGAAATTATTAATATCTCAATTTTTTCAAAAACTGCACTTATGCACCTAATTCTCCAAGCCCCTCATTTTAAACTTGTGCCAATATTAGTGAGACTTCCTGTGCGTGATTCTCGAGAGCTGGGCTGATGATTATTACTTAAATAAACATTAATTTCTGACGACTAGAATTACGGGATTACAAATCTGCGGGTAGGAACAAGAGAGTGATGTACCCGCAGCGCAGGTCCAGGGACACAGCGAGGGGATGACGGAGTATAAGCTACGAGTACACCCCTACATCCTCGTCGAAATTAGTCAGCTGCGGGGATATTTTGTTTGTCCGATGCATAGTTGCAGCAGCGTCGCGATCGCAAGTTCCATTCAATGAAATCATAATCATCCACCGATTCATCTCTCCCCTTCCGACCATTACTGCCGGATTGAACAACCACTATACTGCCGTGCTAAAGGAAGAACGCCGTATGAACATTCGAGAGTTGCCAAATTTCCCTTGATAAAACATGTATTTTTGAAAACATTCATGAATATTTTTCCTTGAAAAGTTCAGATGTTTTGGATTAAATTGCGTACAAAATTGTCTAAAAATTTTGGAAAATAATATTCGCAATTTTCCCAGTAAATTTGGTTTTTATCGGAGGAAACTTGGCAACGTCTGGAAGCTCGTACGGCGTTCTTCCTTAGCACGGCAGTATACCTTCCTACTCTTTACAATGAACGAAAGAACGTAAATAGCACCTCTCCGATCAGAGACTATCGTCATTGCTATCAGCGTATTGTTTTCTGCAAGGCAGTAGACGTAAAATTTCCACACAAAAATATTTCAAAAAGATACTGGAGCGAAATAAGTAAAATAGACCAAAATAAGAACACTGGGTGGCGGCTTTTTCAGGAAAAATAAGTGCAAAATCGTGTTCACTGTTCTATTTTTTTTACACTCTTTGCTCACGAGATTTTTCCATACAATTCTTGAACCCTAACCTATTTACAAGTTTTTTTTTACTTTCAAACTCGTCAAAAATTACCAGTTTTACATTTTTTTACGTGTTATTTTTCGAAGTGTGTGACACAAGAGGGGAAAATTTTCATTACACAGAAAAAACTCATCAGGAAGAAAATCTCGATTTGTTTCACTCGGATATTATGCAGGAGTTTCTGTTTTACAGAAAATGGCACTGCTAGCTTTGACGTAATTTTGAAGCACCTTCGTCTATACTTTACCTCATTCCTAACAGAAAGACAGTCCTTAATTTCGTGCGATAAATTCCTATTTTAGGAACTGGTTATTTATTTTTTTAGTTTTTCCGATCGCATGGTAGCTCAAATTCAAGAAAAAAATTCGTCCAAAGATTAAAACACGTTTCTCTAATGATTCCATAGGAGGAATTAAGGGGGACGTAAGAAGCATCTCCCCCCCCCCCCNTCCGCTTCACCCTTAAATAAGGAGGAAGGAGAGAAGGAAAACAAATAGAGGGAAGAAACGGAGGGAAAAGGAAGGACGGACGATTGTATTTGATAATAATTCATTACAAAATTGACTCAAACTGCATTTTTCGAAAATTTTCCGTGGGAAGCCCCCCCCCCCCTACCCCCCTTCCGTTCAAAATGGCTGAATCTGCCTATGGGCGATGCTGACGTGATTCACTTGGGAAATGGGTATTGGGGAAGATCACGTAAAATAAGACTACCACATAATGCAATGCATCCAACGAATATTCCCTGATAAGCAGAGTTTTATCAAAAAACGTTTGATGAAAGGTCGGAAACAAGTCGAGCCATGCAGATAAATCGCTTGGGTTCCTTTTTTCATTTGGATAAACGCCATTAATGACGTCACCCGAAGGATTTCGATACCGCATTGGACCCAAAAGATAACAATTTTAAAACATCTTTCAACTCTACTAATACTAATGAGATTATATCGATATATATCGTTTTTTTCCAGTAACGTACTACTAATCTAATAGCGCCTTTAGGTTCCATTAGGCAACGGTACCTCCAGCTTTCCAGGTTCGTGACTCGTCCCGTCGAGTTATTATTAGCCGATTCCTCGACGGGGGGGGGGGGGGGAGGAACCGCGTCGGTGCCATATTTCCGTGTAAATCACTAAGAAAATACAGCCTTTCTAGTTCCAACAGCGAATTTTCGCAACGAGAATAAAACCAATCGAGACTCCCGCCTAGTGCCTACAAAGAAGGATAACAGAAAATTCGAATCATGGAGCAATGCAACCGACCAGACGTACTCTTGACACCGCGAAAAATGGCGTGTCGAAGCACTATGCACTTACTCTTACTATTAGTTCCGGACGAAAGAACGCAAATTAGTGTGTTTTTCAGCCACATTTACAGGAAAATTTGCTCATAATTTTATCTGAAGCGTAAGAAAATTTTAATGTAAAATATGCATAGCTATACTCAAAAATTAGTATTTTCTAGGAGTAAATTTGGCAACATTTGAACGTTCACACTGCGTTTTTCCGTAGCACGGCAGTGTGCTCAACTTCTCGTGCGTCACCCAATATTGAAGTGGAAGTTAAAAAGTTCACAGAAACTCAGTTCCTCAAATAATGGCAAGCCTTCATAGGAATCATGATTTTGATTTCATACATTGCTTCTTTGGAATGATACCGCGAAACACTCAAATCAAAGTGCTGAGGATCCCGGTGAAAAAACCATACCTCGTACAGTCAAGATTGTTGAAATTGATGGACAAAGCGATGAACAAATA